TCCTCTATCTCTTTAATATCAGAATTCCCCCTTCACATCGGAAGCCTGCCTGCGCCATGGAAAGGCATAACACTGTACGAAGATTTCAAAGCGCCTCTGTGGAAGGCAGAAGGCACACCAGGGTGCTACAGCACCCTGGTTAAGAAAGGCTGGTTTAAACTAAGTTTTATACTTCCCAACTGCCCCTCATTTTGGACCATATCCCTCTGTGCCTCTTTCCTCCTCTGTTGTCCCTCTTTTTGGTCTAATATAAATACACCTCTAAACAAATGTATATTTAATTACCCAAATTCTTATACTACACTAACTTTTTTTTTAAAACGTCTGCCCAGCCTATCACATGGCAATAGCGCCCCTACATGGTGCTGAGGAGTATAGGAAATTCCTATACTCTTCAGTGCCATCTAGGGGTGCTAGTGTCATGTGAATGGCATCCTCCCAGCTTAAGTTTTATAAATAAGCCCATGTAACATTTATCTAAATTATAGTAATTTTGAAATATCATAAATTATTGAAAAGTTGCAGTGAAAAAATGGCCGCCGTACATTAAACCAACCATTTTTTGTATATTAATTATTCACAGTCTGCATAACTGGAAGCATTGACAGGGGTGTGTCCTGTCTGTATACTTTGTACTAGACGGTGACCCTCTCTTTCTTTTACTCTCAGAAAGTTGGGAGGTATGTCTATTATTTGCTTTCCCAGTGTGGTCAATACATCTCCCCAATTGTTTTGATCTGTCAGTAACAAACACCACAGATAGGTCACTGTCTCCCTGAAAATGACATGCTGGGCAATCTTGAACAAGTTGCTAGAGCACAGTGATGGCAGGAATCTACATGATTCTTTGAAGGTAAATGCATCACAAGCAAACCATTGATTTAGGATTAGAGAACCTTATTTACATGCATCAAAGTGAATAAAGTTAGCCAATCTTCAGTTCATGATGTGCTGGTGAGGTTTTTATATGTATGTTTACTTTTGGCAGCATCCATTCATCTTCAGCACACTGAATTGTTGTGTGGTCAATCTGGATATAATATTGTTGTATGTGCATATCATTATGCTCTCTATAACACTGAGGCATCAAAAACCTTATGGAAATCTCTGTCTGTAATAACATAGGAAGAGGAATCACCAGCACTCAGTAGAATAATCCAACATGTCCATTTATTGGACATAGACGTCACACAATCACAAGAGCCAACGTTTCGAGAGCACGCAGGGTCTCTTCATCATGGCATAAAGAGTGACAATGCACTGACATTTGATAACCACATATATACCTCATGAGGCTAACCAATAATCAAAAGCAACTCCCCCCCTGTGGCATCATAATGGCGGGAAAATCGGCCATTTTCAAATGCATACAAAAAACAATAAACAATGAAATACCAGCTTAAGAAACATATATCATACCCATTGCAATCAGGGTCCGGTTCCAGAGTGTGGTTAAGGTCCGGTTCAGGGATGCAGATAAATCAAATGCAGGCGCTGGAGTGGCCAAAGAGAGACAGGATATCAGAAACCGGAGATCGCGCCACGAGTCTGTAATAACAAACTCCTTAGAATGCTGCGGATGATACTGCCCACCAGAGACAGCAGAAAAAATTCAATAGTCTTAGACTTTGCTTGAATTG